GGGGGGGGGTCGGAGGTCCGCGCCCCTCCGGGACCACAGCCGGGACAGAGGTGGCAGAGGAGGAGTCGTCCCTGCCGCCGGGGCGCTGTCGCCTTCCTTCCTTCTCCTTCCTTCCTCCCATGGGGGTGGGGGGGCAGAATGCTGGACTCGGTCCATAGGCTCTGGAACTTCATGTGACACGGTCATGCCTGGTCCTCCTTTCGTCCTGCTCCTGTCACCAGCTTCTGAAGCTCACCCGGGGGTCCAGGGGGGCAGCAGCTTCTCCCTTTTTGTTAAGGGCGTCCCTGTGCGTGCGCTGTGTCTGGGAAGTCACCTCTGCATCTTGATGTGGACATCTGATGGCCTTCGAGGGAATGGGCCTCGTGCACTGGACTGTTCACTTACAAACAGCCAAGATGGCAAAGTTGCTGTTATGTGGGCTTCGCTGCCATTCAAGTCATGCCACTGATTGTCCCCCTTTTCCTTCAATAGGAAACAGAGGCTTTGGAATCCTTGACCTATTCTGAGGGTCACCTTCGTGAAATTTCCCTGCCGGAGTAACAGTCCTGCCCGGCACTGAGACATTGGAAGGGACTGTGGGGCACTGGGTCCCTTAGTACTGGCACTTCTAAAGGGCATAGAATTTGGGAACTGTTTACCCTAAAGATTAGGACGTTTCTTACAGAGCCAGTAGTTGACCGCACAATCCCCGTGGGGAGCAATTTAAGAGCGCTTCTTTGCCCAAACTCTCCCCACCAGGGTTCATCCCGCTCCAGGTGGGGTGGAGGGGAATGCTTTCTGCATGAAAGGTGCATTTTGCCCCCTCAGTCTAGCAGGTCCCACTGCAGCTCACTTGGAAGACAGTCCCCCTCTTGTGCTGTGTGCAACCCTGTGTTTCCGCTGACTTCCTCTCTGCCTGCCAGCTCTCAGCATCCTCAGTGCATGTGCTGCTAAGTGGAGGCCAGCTCCCACTCCCAGAGTGCCAACAGCTTCCAAATTGAATGGTCTCTCGCTCCTCCACACCCAGCTAGACCACTGCCATGGCCAGTGTCCCTTGGGTCAGATGCAGTCATGTGGCAGAGCTTAGCCAATAGGATGTAGGTCCCTAAAGTGTGTCACTTTCAGGCCTGATCCAGGGGAGCTCCCAAGGAAGTACCACCATGCCCTTTCCCCTCCCCTGCTGGGTGCTAATGCACAGGGAAGACGCAGGCATGGGTGGCAGAGTGCTGTCAGCTAGGGACTGTGAAAACTGTGGAGCAGAACATTAGTCTCACTTCCGCTCCTGCCATGGCTGTTGCTTAACAACGGACAAGCAGCCATCAGTCAATGGATGATTGATGGATCTTTAGTCTCTCAAGTTTGCAGTACTCTTTACTGTATTTTCCTGGGTTCCACTTTTCCCCTAGAATTTCTGACTCTTCCCTCCTGGTCTGGCTTGGAGCTATGCCTCTTCTCACAGGCTCCTGGAGCGCATCCATCTCCACTCCTGCAAATTCCTAGGGAGAAGCAATTCCCATGCTCATGGGTTGGGTCCACCAGCCCCAGGGATTTCAGGAAGCCCTACCCAGTCTGCACCATTGCCCTGTCACATGTGGCCTCTAGTAAGCAAGGCAGGGAGAAGTTCAGACACAGAGAGGTACTCAGGAGATCCGTGTTCTCACAGGGAATGGCGTCCACAGGCAGGGCTCTCCAAGGCATCCTGGGTTTGGGGGAAGTGCTTTGTAAAAACAGGAGGCCCTGCTCCAGGATACGACTGTACCCAACAACTTCCTTGGGTTTGGCCTTGAATGGGTGTTGTGCCGAAGTAACAGGCCTGCCTGGCATTGGGACATTGGAGGGGTCTGTGGGGCACTGGACATGGGTCCCTTAGTACTGGCACTTCCAAGACACTGGAACCTGGACACCTGACTAGAGTCTAGCCTCTGTAGATGAAGGAATCCCTCCATTCAGGTCCTGCCTCTGAGGAGTCATATCCCAACCGTCTTTTCCATCAATAAATAATTATATTGAAGTATATTGAAGTATTTATATATGGCGAAGCCACAGATCAGTGTCATTAAGTGCAGTGGCTCTAAGTGCAGCCAACACCACAAGCAAGGTACAAGCCTGGTTGTTATTCAAACCCAGCCTCTGCTGTTCCAAACCACGGTTGCGTAAGGACATCACTGAGGAAGTAAGATGAGGTGGTGGCTGGCTGCAGCCCTGTGACCCTTTCCTGGGGCTCCACACTTCCAGTTTGGATCCCCCAAAGGATGGTTCAAGGCTTGTCCCCCTCCCTCGTCCTGGAGCCTTCCCAGGACAGACGCCCCCTGTTCTTAAGTTCACAGTGAGGTTAGCTCTCACAGTCGACCTAACTGGGCTGTTCGCAGCTTGCTGCTCTGGAAAAGTCCCTGGGAGAAGGAAAATACAAATGTGTGGGCCATCTACTTGGAATGAGTG